TGGGTGTAATTGAAACTGCAAAACACATATGGTGCCGCAGCTTTTTTGATAGAAAAATTGCATTTTTTAAGGGTACTCAACGGTTCCGGAATTTTCGAAATAGTATAAACGAAGAACACCCCTTGCTAAATTTGGCACAGAAAATGTTGCTCGTCACAGAGAGTTTTCTCTAAATTTCTCGCTATTTCTACACCAATGGCCAACACTCATTTCTCACTATTTCAATTTTGATTTCTAATTACAAGGGCAGCAGAAAATAAATTTACTTCTACCTATTATCTTGGATGTAAAATCTAGGTGGCGCCAGTCATCTTTATTTACTTCCTTTTAACCTATACTGACATATATTGAAATAAAATCGGACAATCTTTACATTAGTCGATAACTATATCTTCCTGCTGCTAAAGTTCAAATTTTTGGATTAAAGGTACAATTTTTCACCTTTAAAAATGACTTTCTTTACAGGTACCCCCCTTTGCAGAAAACGTTGCTTTTTTACAGACTTGGGGCCATTGGCCAGCTTATTTTGACTGTTTGGCTATGTTTAAAACGAGGTGTTTGATTAATGAAGTTCGATTTAGGCCTATTAAAGACTTTAGGCTGATGATTTGATAACTGTGTCCAACTTATATGTCTTTATCACGAATATATGAACACCGTTGCATAAGAGTCAAAATATTTTATGAAATAGACTATAAAAGTGCTGAAACTAAGAATTTATCATTGCTGTTATGTGTTTTATATGAATCGTGTGCAGAATATTCAATTCGACGATACTAAGGAGAAACATGTATTGCCTTTGATTTTTTACCTAATTTTAATATTTTAGGGGCATTTTGGCACATTTTGGCCATTAAAAATACAAAAATTTCGCTAACGTCAGCAAAAATAAGCCCCCCTTTTTTTAAATATGCATAAATACATGCAATGTTATCGAGGATGAGGAGAAATGATTAAAGACAGAGTCATTGACAGAAGTCTCGTTCTTACAGTAGGTTAATGAACCCTACCCCTTAGGCAGAAGAATAAAAAAACAGTAAAAATTTGATATAGACTATAGTTTCTTGGCGATCAGCAATTTTCTTCTGATACAGTTTATCACTTAGTACCTTATTAATTTACCGATCCAATTTCTAAAATATCTCAAAAAATACAGTGATGCGCCAGAAATCGTTATTTCGCTTTAGGTTACAAGGAAGTAATTATTTACATAGGCGACAATGGTAGCCTTTTTTGGTCCTGCGTTTTCACTATCAAAGATCCATAGAAAAAAATGTCGAATTCTGAATTATCAACACCTTTGGGTGTAATTGAAACTGCAAAACACATATGGTGCCGCAGCTTTTTTGATAGAAAAATTGCATTTTTTAAGGGTACTCAACGGTTCTGGAATTTTCGAAATAGTATAAACGAAGAACACCCCTTGCTAAATTTGGCACAGAAAATGTTGCTCGTCACAGAGAGTTTTCTCTAAATTTCTCGCTATTTCTACACCAATGGCCAACACTCATTTCTCACTATTTCAATTTTGATTTCTAATTACAAGGGCAGCAGAAAATAAATTTACTTCTACCTATTATCTTGGATGTAAAATCTAGGTGGCGCCAGTCATCTTTATTTACTTCCTTTTAACCTATACTGACATATATTGAAATAAAATCGGACAATCTTTACATTAGTCGATAACTATATACTCCTGCTGCTAAAGTTCAAATTTTTGGATTAAAGGTACAATTTTTCAACTTTAAAAATGACTTTCTTTACAGGTACCCCCCTTTGCAGAAAACGTTGCTTTTTACAGACTTGGGGCCATTGGCCAGCTTATTTTGACTGTTTGGCTATGTTTAAAACGAGGTGTTTGATTAATGAAGTTCGATTTAGGCCTATTAAAGACTTTAGGCTGATGATTTGATAACTGTGTCCAACTTATATGTCTTTATCACGAATATATGAACACCGTTGCATAAGAGTCAAAATATTTTATGAAATAGACTATAAAAGTGCTGAAACTAAGAATTTATCATTGCTGTTATGTGTTTTATATGAATCGTGTGCAGAATATTCAATTCGACGATACTAAGGAGAAACATGTATTGCCTTTGATTTTTTACCTAATTTTAATATTTTAGGGGCATTTTGGCACATTTTGGCCATTAAAAATACAAAAATTTCGCTAACGTCAGCAAAAATAAGCCCCCCTTTTTTTAAATATGCATAAATACATGCAATGTTATCGAGGATGAGGAGAAATGATTAAAGACAGAGTCATTGACAGAAGTCTCGTTCTTACAGTAGGTTAATGAACCCTACCCCTTAGGCAGAAGAATAAAAAAACAGTAAAAATTTGATATAGACTATAGTTTCTTGGCGATCAGCAATTTTCTTCTGATACAGTTTATCACTTAGTACCTTATTAATTTACCGATCCAATTTCTAAAATATCTCAAAAAATACAGTGATGCGCCAGAAATCGTTATTTCGCTTTAGGTTACAAGGAAGTAATTATTTACATAGGCGACAATGGTAGCCTTTTTTGGTCCTGCGTTTTCACTATCAAAGATCCATAGAAAAAAATGTCGAATTCTGAATTATCAACACCTTTGGGTGTAATTGAAACTGCAAAACACATATGGTGCCGCAGCTTTTTTGATAGAAAAATTGCATTTTTTAAGGGTACTCAACGGTTCCGGAATTTTCGAAATAGTATAAACGAAGAACACCCCTTGCTAAATTTGGCACAGAAAATGTTGCTCGTCACAGAGAGTTTTCTCTAAATTTCTCGCTATTTCTACACCAATGGCCAACACTCATTTCTCACTATTTCAATTTTGATTTCTAATTACAAGGGCAGCAGAAAATAAATTTACTTCTACCTATTATCTTGGATGTAAAATCTAGGTGGCGCCAGTCATCTTTATTTACTTCCTTTTAACCTATACTGACATATATTGAAATAAAATCGGACAATCTTTACATTAGTCGATAACTATATACTCCTGCTGCTAAAGTTCAAATTTTTGGATTAAAGGTACAATTTTTCACCTTTAAAAATGACTTTCTTTACAGGTACCCCCCTTTGCAGAAAACGTTGCTTTTTACAGACTTGGGGCCATTGGCCAGCTTATTTTGACTGTTTGGCTATGTTTAAAACGAGGTGTTTGATTAATGAAGTTCGATTTAGGCCTATTAAAGACCTTAGGCTGATGATTTGATAACTGTGTCCAAATTATATGTCTTTATCACGAATATATGAACACCGTTGCATAAGTCAAAATATTTTATGAAATAGACTATAAAAGTGCTGAAACTAAGAATTTATCATTGCTGTTATGTGTTTTATATGAATCGTGTGCAGAATATTCAATTCGACGATACTAAGGAGAAACATGTATTGCCTTTGATTTTTTACCTAATTTTAATATTTTAGGGGCATTTTGGCACATTTTGGCCATTAAAAATACAAAAATTTCGCTAACGTCAGCAAAAATAAGCCCCCCTTTTTTTAAATATGCATAAATACATGCAATGTTATCGAGGATGAGGAGAAATGATTAAAGACAGAGTCATTGACAGAAGTCTCGTTCTTACAGTAGGTTAATGAACCCTACCCCTTAGGCAGAAGAATAAAAAAACAGTAAAAATTTGATATAGACTATAGTTTCTTGGCGATCAGCAATTTTCTTCTGATACAGTTTATCACTTAGTACCTTATTAATTTACCGATCCAATTTCTAAAATATCTCAAAAAATACAGTGATGAGCCAGAAATCGTTATTTCGCTTTAGGTTACAAGGAAGTAATTATTTACATAGGCGACAATGGTAGCCTTTTTTGGTCCTGCGTTTTCACTATCAAAGATCCATAGAAAAAAATGTCGAATTCTGAATTATCAACACCTTTGGGTGTAATTGAAACTGCAAAACACATATGGTGCCGCAGCTTTTTTGATAGAAAAATTGCATTTTTTAAGGGTACTCAACGGTTCCGGAATTTTCGAAATAGTATAAACGAAGAACACCCCTTGCTAAATTTGGCACAGAAAATGTTGCTCGTCACAGAGAGTTTTCTCTAAATTTCTCGCTATTTCTACACCAATGGCCAACACTCATTTCTCACTATTTCAATTTTGATTTCTAATTACAAGGGCAGCAGAAAATAAATTTACTTCTACCTATTATCTTGGATGTAAAATCTAGGTGGCGCCAGTCATCTTTATTTACTTCCTTTTAACCATTACTTTATACATAATTCAAAAGCAGTGTAAGGGAGATAATTTCAATGATGTATTTGATTTATCTCCCTTACACTGCTTTAAATTATGTTTTGTACTAAAGTATTTGTCCATTAATGAGGACAACCTTGTTTTTCCCCCTTTTTTGCACCTAATTCTTAAACGGTTTGAGCAATAACCCCCCAAAGCAAATCCTAACCATCCCTTTGTGGTATGGAAACTTGTAGTATAATTTCAGAGAGATCCATACACCGTTCCACAGTTATTGTCTGGAATCTAGAAAATGCTTATTTTTGGCCCCTTTTTGGCCCCTAATTCCTTAACTGTTGGTACCATAACCCCCTAAATCAATCCCCACCTTCCTTTTGTGGTATTGAACCTTATGGTAAAATTTCATAGAGATCCATTCACTTAAACTAAAGTTAGAGTGAGAAAACTAATGCGTCTTCGGAGGACGACGCCGGACGACGACTACGCCGGACGACGACGCCAACGTCATACCAATATACGACCACAAAAATTTTTTTGCGGTCGTATATAAATTGGCATGTAATAATCTGATAATATACTTCATGATATAAAAGTGGTAAGAAAATCAATGGAAGTCGATTTTGAAACCAAAAGCAATTACAGTTACTTTTAAATTGCAAGTTTAAAAATTCTTTTGAAAATATGTTTCCATAATAGATACTGGATGACAGCTCTTCAGCATGTCCATACCTATTAATTTTGGTAAACTAAAGTTGAATTATTTTCTGACTAATTTCAGTTACCTTTATGCTGGGAAATGTGTCAGCAATTTGTTTAAGCTACAAGCAAGTCTTGGAAATTATGTCAGTAAACATGACTCATTTGAAACAAAGGTTTGTTGTTATTTATTTTTATCTATCATAGAGATATAAGATTTTTCAATATATTTAATAGCACTTTGAAAATTATTTTTAGATATATATATATATATATATATATATAACATGCAGAATTTATATTAAATTTTAAGGAAATAGATGCAGAGATGAATAAAGATTTTGAAATTTAGATGGATAAAAGCATTTTCATTTTTGACATTTTGCAAACGTTCGACTTCACTGGAAATCTAAATTTCTTACAAATAGAGGTAAAACCCAGAGTTTTCCAAATGCATTTGAGCTATTGGTCTGTGACTAGCGGTGAAATTTGCAACACAGATTTTTTACACAATCTTTTTCTGTCTGAGAACCACAAAGTTCATTTGACATGGCCTTATTATTCGTGGGATACAAAATGGATTTCATGGATATAGGTGAACTACAAAATAGAATGTTCAACTAAGTACAAATTTTCTATAGGCTTGTATACAGACCAGCAAATCCACAAAAATAAATAACCATGATGATACAAAATAAATACATCCACAGCACACACATAAATATCTGAATGTATAGAAGCTTATCCAATTTGCCATTATAGGTCATGACATGTTGTAGTGCAGAAGAAATATGCTCAAATATCAGGAAAATTTGTGACATGGAGAGAACATATTCATATGTATGGAACAAAGAGGAATGGTCAGATGGCAGTTGGTTGCTTGAAATTGTTACAAATGTAATGTCTATTTAAACAAAAATATGAGTAGTTTGAACTAGTTTCTTGCAGTAATTGTTTTTATTTTCGTGTTTTGATGGTACCCTATTGATACATACCAAGATTTACACCTAAATTAAAATAATTTGATCTAATGTATATGTATCTTTTTCGTGGTGTGTTTATTTCATATATTTTGTGAAAGGTATATGCAGTTTACATGCATGTAAAAATCCTAGCAATAACATCACCTGATTTATAACTACAAGTCTGTGAAACTTTTGAAACAGCATCAGTGATCTTTAAAGGATAAAAGGTCGTAACATAACAAATAATGACCCAAGCCATGCAAATGGAACTCCTTTGTTGTATAATTTTCAACCAAATCAGACAATGCAGACAATGCAGACAATTAAATAATCATTGTTATTTTGTAAACAGGAATACTCTTTTGTTTTATAATTGTAAAGCTAAAAAGGCTTTTATGAATATTTAAAGATGTTTGTTCAAATGCCATGAAATACATTGACAATACATGTACCATATTTGTGAAAATAAGTTCATGCGACAAAATGTACTTTGAATACATTACTTGTATTTATAAACCAATTTATTGGAATACTAAATACAAGTTAAATTGGTTTTGGAGAGATGATATTTACCATGCTAGAGTTATTGCCCCTTTATTTACTGAACAATAATTAATTTTAAGGATTCCAAATAAATGATGAAATAATGTTTCTCATGGTTCTATACATTTAAATCATGAAGAAGTATGTTATAACTAAACTATAATCTCTTATTTTTTCAGGAAGAAAAGTTTTTGTTGTCTATACCTTGTCTTAACTCAATTAGGTAAGCTTCCTTTGGTTAAAACAGACTCAAACACTTTAACATTTTCTGTAACCTACATAGAGGTAATCTACTAAATTAACTGCAATCAGTTAAACAAAATAAATTGAATTTCACACACATTACAAAGAAAACTATTATTCTTTGTGGGTTAATGTTCGGTTATGATCTTTTTTTGGATTATTTATTTGATAAATAATAAACTGCTTCGCTGAGCGCAGCTGGATACTCCCGCAGAGATCCAACCCTGAGCAGTTGGGGCAAAAATGGACACAATATTCAAGCTTGATACAGGTCTGAATTTGGATTGTAATTAAGTACAGCTATTTGTAAGAACCAGGCAGGGGGTGATTCATGTATGTTTCAGAACTTCTTTATTTTTTTATATAATGGACAGCTAAGATTGAAATGATGATTGCAGGCTATTTTTTTTAATTTTGTTGAACGGTTGCTATGGAAACATGCATCCATTTTTTCGAGAATTGATGATGAAATCATCCATGAAAAATTGAAAAATCCATGTTATTTTGGTTGCAAACATTTTCTGATTATGAGAATTGCTAAAAAAAAATAATTTTACCACATTATTAAACATTATTTGAATTATATATTTTAATGTATAGGTTTTGAAATTTTTTTTCCTATAAAGCGAAAATACTATTTTAAAAAGTGGCAAAAATCTGTTTTTCACATTTTTTGAAAATGGCTGAAATGTTACATTTTAAATCAAATAAAATTAAAAATGGGCAGATGATTTTCTTTTAAAACATGATTGCAGCTTAAAGTTCATATATTGAATTATTGAAAACTGTTAAAAAACATCTGGGTTTTTTCGCAATTTTTGTTACCATGGGAACCAAAATTGGCAATTTTCTTAAAAATGACAAAATCAGAAAATGTGTTTATTATTAAGATTGTGCATATGTGTTATATTAATGCAATTTAACACACAATAAAACCTATAATTTGTTGGAAAATATTTTAAAAAAATTTAGAATTACTTAAAATGGTAAATTGACCATAGCAACAGATAAAAAGCCTTAGCAACCGACCTCAAATTGCTGAAATAATTCACAATCAGCATCTAACACATGAAAATCAATGTATTGAATACATATGATAAATGGAGTTTGAAGTCTATACTCAGCACTTCAGTGTTTCATTCTGCTTTTGGTAACCATGGAAACAAAATAAGGTTCAGATTTGATACAAACGGATACCGTATAATGTCTTTTATTCAGCACTGTAAATGTACTTCTTTCAACGAAAAATCAACATGCAATTATATTTCTTTATATTTACAACTTGTATCTCTTGATTCCATGAAAGGGTTATCTAAAAATCAATCAGGTTAATTCTACCTTGTAACCATGTATAAAGTCTATGTAAACATCATCAAATTACAACAAGGCATGCATAGTTACTGGAAATTAAGAAATTATTGTGATTTTTTTTGTCCAACTGGAAGGTGTCATCTGACCTTGACCTCTTTTTCATGGTTCATTAGTTAGTTAAGTTTTAGTTTTTGGTCTTTTTTTTTCGCATACTATATGTAATAGGTAAACTTTATTTGGTGTATGAAAATATTTTAAGACGAACATGTCTGTCTGGCAAATATCATTGACCTTGACTTCAATTTCATGGCATGGGTTAGTGTTGTTTTTCTGGTTAAATTTGTTTCTTAGATACTGAAAGAAATATGTCTATATTTAATGCATAGGTTGGTTGTAAGGTGTAAATGTCTGTCAGGCATGGATCATCTAACCTTGAAGGCTTAAACTAATTTTTATGGTTCATTGTTCCATTTTAACTTTTCCTGTTTAAGTTTGTTTCTAAGAAACCATAGGCAATAGGTCAACTATATTTTGTGTATGGAATTATTGTAAGGTGTAACTGACTTTGACCTTCTTTTCTTGGATCATGTTAAGAATATATTTACAATACTTATATTTGTGATACTGGTATTACAGCTTTCATATTTAGGACTATCAAGATAAAATTAATGGTCAGTAAAGCAGATGAGACATTTTAGCGTGTGCACTCTTGTTCTTATCATCTCAAAAATTAAAATTGAAAATGAAAGAATTGCAATGATTAAATGCATGCAATAATTTCTGAATTTACAGTATCATCCAGAAACAACTTTTTCAGTGAAAGATCCATTTTTAGATCTATATTGTGATTTTACTGTTGACTAGCAGAACTAAAAATCATTATGTTCTTCCTAGTCATCCTTCAATTTTTATTTTCAATCATTCAAGGTAACTTTATTACCAATCCGAAATTTTCCACCTAATAACAATTGTAATAATGTATGTATACTGAATGACAACAGTGCACCTGTCATATATTCCTTTCTTCCATTCCAGAATAATACCATTGTGTGAAACACAAGGGTGTCTGACTAGAAGCAAGTCATGCTTACTTTCTGGAGCATCTGATGTTGCCTGATTTTAACTCTGACAAATTTGAAGTCAATGACTTACTGAATATGTTAGGGCTTTTAATACAATGGATACTATAAATCTACTATATACCAAATATCATTGATTTGACATCATTAGTTTCAATACACTAACCATATAAATTTTGACCATGTCAATAAACCATGAATGACTAAATGTTTAGGCAATTCTTTTTTAAAACATAAAATAAACATAGAATATATAAGATGTACCTTATCAAATGACATATGAACAATAATTTATAACTAAAAATGTGCCTTCCATAAGCAAGATTTGATTTGCAGCAGGTCAAGTTTACGAGCTTATTCCATCTACGCCAGTGACTTACAACCTTACAACTTTTCATGGTGCGCCAGAGGGTTGCATCCTGTTCTGCAAATTATTTTTTGTTTCCATATATTTATTATAAATGAATTTGTTTCACCAAAACTTAAAAGATACCAAAATAATTTTTATAGAGTTTTAGAATTTTCCTATATCATCTTTCATTTGAAAAGATATAATTTTATTTTAAAAAATATTGCTTCATATTATAAATGAACAGTCAAATCTGATTTCTAGAATAACAATTAAAAAATTCATCTTCTGCTGCAAGGAACATATTTATCTGCATAATTTCTAAATACTGAGCACAATTTCTTAAATAAGGGTGGTAACAAATAGATTCTAATATGACACATTTTAGAATTTGTCAATTATATATAGAAATTACCAAAATGAAGTTACTATAAGTCTTTAAACTTAGAAATTGTTACAAAAACTGACCACTATGGAATGCATATCTAAGACATGTCACAGAAGTATTTTTTTTGGCCCTATATCATAAGAACTTTGGTACATAAGTAAAATTCTGTCTTTATTTTCCCTGTATATTGCCCGTTGCCATGGTAACCATCAAAACAACATTTTGCCTGAATATGTGAAAAAAGACCCTTTTGAAAATTTAAAATAAGGGAATTTAAAGTAACATGGAAATTAAGTTAATCAATAAAAACAATTAGGGTTTTTACATTGTTAAAAAACAAAATCCCAAACTATTCAAAAACGTTAAAAATTTGGAATTTACCAAATAGTTTGTTTCCATAGCAACCATTGAATAAAATGCTCCGCAGGGCGCAGCTTGATACGACCGCAGAGGTCGAACCCTGAACAGTTGGGGCAAGTATGGACACAACATTCAAGCTTGATACAGCTTTGCATTTGGATTGTGATTAAATATTTGACACAGCATAGGTTTCTGACACAGAATGAATGTGGTCTAAGAACTTAAAAATTTTAAATTGTACATTCACCTATTATGGTCCAATATCCAAAATCTAAATACATGGTTAGATTCAGCATATCAAAGAACCCCAAGAATTCAATTTTTGATGAAATCAAACAAAGTTTAATTTTGGACCCTTTTGACCTCAATGTGGACAAAGTTGATAACGGGGCCCAAAAATCAAAAATCTAAATATATGGTTAGATTCAGCATATCAAAGAACCCCATATATTCAATTTTTGTTGAAATTAAACAAAGTTTAATTTTGGACCCTGATTTTGACCAACTTGAAAACTGGGCCCATAATCAAAAAACTAAATACATGTTTAGATTCAGCATATCAAAGAACCCTTAGAATTCATTTTTTGTTAAAATCAAACTAAGTTTAATTTTGGACCCTTTGGACCTTAATGTAGACCAATTTGAAAACGGAACCAAAAATTAAGAATCTAAATACACGGTTAGATTTGGCATATCAAAGAACCCCAATAATTCAATTTTTGATAAAAATCAAACAAAGTTTAATTTTGGACCCTTTGGACCTCAATGTGGACCAATTTAAAAACGGGGCCCAAAATCCAAAAACTAAATACACGGTTAGATTCAGCATATTAAAGAACCCCAAGAATTCAAGAATAAAACCCCATTGAAATTGGTCAAGAAATAAGCAATTTATACGAAGTATCTTCTTTTGCACAATACTGTGCAATTAAATATTTCTTGCTATTGCGCAATACTGTACAATTGACAATTTCTTGCTATTGCGCAATATTGTGCTATTGGATATTTCTTGCTATTGCACAATACTGTGCAATTGAAGATTTCTTGCTATTGCGCAATACCGTGCAATTGAAGATTTCTTGCTATTGTGCAATACTGTGCAATTGAAAATTTCTTGCTATTGCACAATACTTATTATATAATAATTTACACATCCTGATTGGTGTGTATCTCCTACCATATCATTATTATTTGCTTTTAAATATAAATCAGAAATAACCAACTTAAAATGGAAAATTTAAAAAAAAAAAAAATGAAAAAAAGAAAAAAAAGAAAAAAAAATATCCCGCCCCCCAAAATTTTTTGAACCCCCTTATGATTCATCACCCAAACTCAATCCCAGCCTTCCCTTTGTGGTATGGTACCTTGCAGTACAATTTCAGAGAGATCCATACACTTGAACACAAGTTATTGTCTGGAAACTAGAAAAATGTGTTTTTTGGCCCCTTTTTGGCCCCAAATTTCTAAACGTTTAGGGCAATTACCCCCAAACT